CTACAAGTACTTGATGCTAAAATAGGTGACTTTAGGTTAATACGTTTTTGAATCAGTGTAAGTAAACTGATGTTATTAATTAAACAAAACATCACAGGAGGTAGTATGTTATCGCACTGGAATTAAAGTTTATGATATTTTAAAATTACGTAATAAAAACACCTGAGTGGTATTACAATAAAATTTAACATGTAAATTAAAAAAAACAATTACACATATTGATATGTATGTATTATAATGGAAATATCAATTAACAGCCAGCTATTCACACACAAATGTAAGTGGGTTTGGATTAGAAATCCCATAAGTATTTCATTTTAGCAGGTATATACAGGATGAGGCAAAAGTAACTTACCCCAAAGATTTTACTTAGTATTAGAAGATAGTATCAAAAAAAAGTTAAAATATCCTTTCACAGTTAACTTTGTTTAGTTTTTAACGTATAGCAGTTAAAAAAACAAACTTGAGGCAAGTTACTTTTACCTCAGCCTCTGCATACATGGAAAAGTATACGAAATAAATATACGAAAGTCCTTTAGCTGCTACATATATTTAAAAAAAATATTCAAGAACGAAAACAAAAGTCCTTTAGCTGCTACATATATTTAAAACAAATATTCAAGAACGAAAACAAAAGTCCTTTAGCTGCTACATATATTTACAAAAATATTCAAGAACGAAAACAAAAGTCCTTTAGCTGCTACATACATTTAAAAAATATTCAAGAACCAAAACAAGCAAAAGTCCTTTAGCTGCTACATACATTTGAATAAGTATTCAAGAACGAAAATAAACAAAAGTCCTTTAGCTGCTACATACATTTAAAGAAATATTCAAGAACGAAAACAAAAGTCCTTTAGCTGCTACATACATTTAAAAAAATATTCAAGAACCAAAACAAGCAAAAGTCCTTTAGCTGCTACATATATTTAAATAAATATTCAAGAACAAAACAAAAAAGTCCCTTAGCTGCTACATATAATTGAAGAAGTATTCAAGAACCAAAACAAGCAAAAGCGAAAGAATTTTATATTCTACTCAACTTAACAGAAACTAAAGAAAAATACTGTATCGTCTTCTATAAACGTTATTTTAACCTATCAGTATCACGGAACAGAAAAAAAGAACATACCATGAACGTGTTACAGTGTGCCGTGTGTCTAATGGTGCTATTGCAACTAGTGTATAATAGCACTCTAAACATATTTAGCTAGTGTAATCTAAAGTGTTTTGTCTTATAACAGTAACCAGTTGTTGTTTTTTATGTTGTTGTTGTCGGAGGTACGTTTCACCCATCGACCCTACAGAACTATACTTATTGGAAGGGTGAGGGTACCGATAAATTCTGGCGATTTTATTTGGCTGAAAATGTTATAATCAGGTTAATTTAACGAGGTCAGCTTATCAAGAGTAATTTTCCTCGTTATTGTATATAAAAAAAAACACGTTATCTCTCAACAATTTGAAAAAAACAATTATAGTTTTGTCCTTTCTGAGTCTCACTCCGATGTGATTTTTTTTCTTCTCAGGATGTCATGGGGTGAAAATACTGTAGTTGTGTACACTAAAAATACTGTAGTTGGTTGCTACGTGTACACTATAAATACTGTAGTTGGTTGCTACGTGTACTCTAAAAATACTGTAGTTGGTTGCTACGTGTACACTATAAATACTGTAGTTGGTTGCTACGTGTACACTAAAAATACTGCGAAGATTACACAGTAAAATTTGCTGCTCCATCTGTATAAACGATGTAAGAAATTTATCGATGAATACACAGTGGAGATGAAAAAAACATAAGACTCAATTTACAGTTTTACTCCAATAAATTAATTAATGAACTCTACCCCCTCTTCCAATTAAAATAGCAGCATAGAAACAACAATCGATCCCCCCGTACACTCATGATGAGCTATATATATATATAAATAACACTTTATATCAATAGTTTTGATTTATGAGATAGGCTTGCAGAGAATCGAACTCACAGCTCTACGTATGTATATGTAATATATACCGCTGCTACGTTCTTTAGTCCATGACGAAACAATGGTTCCTGTTTACAACCAACAACCCATGCGAAGGCTGCTCGGCTTGCGTAGTTCCGCGAGGTTGTGAAGCGAGTCTGTCTCTACTACCACAACCAGGGTTCGCCGTAGGAGCAAGTGGTGCAGAGAGAGAGAGACACGCGGAGTTCAACCCGCGTGAAATGTACGTGTGCTCACACTGGCCACTGTCCCCTTTCTTTCTATGTTAGCACACGTTAAAAAAAAAGGAACAAGAAAAAACGCAGTTCCATTGCCCCAAGCATTCTAGTGCAACCTAAAGTAGGACAGAGTTAGGCCTATTCACCGTTTCTGACCTGGCCTGATTGGACTGCATGAGCTGCACTGCGTGAAGCAGAGGCCCTTCGAGGATTGCCCGTATTTTAAATCTATAAAAAAAAACGAGTTGGACGATTTTAATAATCACTTTACGATAATACAGGCCTTCTTAATTAAAATGTAGACAATTTTCTTGTACATAAATATATATGTGGCTGTATATATATATATATATATATTAGTCGTTTCCTAGCCATCAGACAGCTACGTACACGCGTTAAGACTGTTTGATCGCGTTCGTTGTAAAAAATGCGGCCAACAAAGCCCGCCATAATTGGCTAACATGGTCACGAACCTTGACCACAAAGTCTTGTGATCTTCTAGAACAGAAAGCCTTCCGATTTCAAGCAACAATGTACGTTAAACATAGGAAAATAATGTTTACTCACCAGTGACTAGTTTTCTTGGCTGAGGCCGTTCTTGCTTCCTCCGTGACATTTCATCTGGTTTAAAACACAAAACGAAGGCGTGATAAGTTCTACATGGACACACAAAGAACAACAAGTATGGCGGCCACTAGTGCATTCTGGGTAATCTAACCCCTAGCACTTTGCGCTTGCTTATAATGTCACCAAAGTCAGTTTACTGATAACTTTATCTGCATATCAGATATGCTGGTCAGAGTTAGGGTGTTTCGCGCCCGGTAAGTGTAGACCCATGCACACGGCTCGCCTCGCACAGTCAGGTCGACATGCACGCGGCCCAGCGTAGAGAGCGACTGAGCTAGTGAGGGCAGGGGTGTGAGGTACGTGTAAGTTAGTGGTCACTGCTGTGTTTCCTGTATCCTGCTCTCTTTGCTGGGGCGCGCGCGGCTCGTGATAAT